TTGGAGACCGTTAGTTGAAGTTAATTTCTATGTGGTGAAAGGTTGATAAGACCTTTAAGTATCATCAACTTTCACCTCATAGAAATCGAGAGCGAATCAGCTAATTGTTATTTATATAGATGAAAACGATCTTTGAAATACTGATGGAAATGTGTATAGTCCTAAAATCTAAAACAACGAAAAGAAATAAGGTAATGAAATAGTTGATGAAAAAAGCCTTGATGATCCGGAAATGAAATACAGTTTGAGCGCGATAATTCTTTCGAGATGCTAAAATTTAACACATAAAATAGTCTTAATCGTTCTGTCGAATTTGTGTGTAACCTCCTCCTTCCCCCACCCCCCACCCCATTTCCCATACTACTGAATGCATTCGTGAGTTTCTCATTTTGATGGTGTGTGATTAAGTCAAAATTCCTTCCTTCAGCAAGCTTTTTCAGCTTTGATTCAGTTTCAAGTTGCTTTTCTTTAAATAATCCGATAAAAAAGCAATCGGAAAAAATCGGAAAAAACCGTATGAAAACACCAAAAAATCTTCACGGGGTACAGGTACCTGTAGGACGTCCTAAGCGGCAATCATTTGCAAGAGGTGACAAGCGTGACCAATATTGTATCCTTTATCAATACACTCCTCGTCAATGGTATAACGCCGCTAAAATAACTCAAGCCTCCTTGAAACAAAATTAAGAGAGAGGGTTGTGGCAATCCCTTTAAAATGTATCCCTGGCGGTTAGTTCTCATCATTTAGCCGGATAAACCTTCAAGGGCCCTAGTCAGCCACACCTTTATTTTTTGTTTACCCGCGAGAGTTTGGCTTTTATATTTTATTTAGAGCGTGTCAAAATGAAGAAAATCACTTCGAAACTACTTAAGATAATTAAACATGATGTACTTTCAGGAATACAACTTACAGTAAAGTAAAAAGATTTCGCTTCACCGTGCAATATCAATAATTTCGATGGTATCGAAAATGGCGGAGGCTGACTAGAGTCCTTTCAGAACGTGTCCGTGTAAGAACCGACCACTCAAATATTCGTTGAAAATAAACTGCCCTCATTTTTTCTGCAAAAGTCAAGAAACATATGCAGTGAACGAAAATGGCCTTTATCATCTGATTTTGGCAGATTCGCTTTCCTTATTTTTTGACGAATTTTTTTGTAGGTACCTCGAAAACGGCGCAACGGTCACCTTTTTCCATATGTACCCCCAGGTTTCGTAAATACTAGCATTCGAAAAACCCATAAAGATGCACGAAGCGATGACGACGAAGTGGATCCACGTAACTGTTTTCCCATCAACACCAAAGCGCCCAAAAAGATGGCGTACATCGTGAGTAAGGGCTATTAGAAGGTGTGGAGTAGTAGGAATATCAACCAGAATGTTCATTGGTGAAATGATAGCATCATTCAATTGTCTAAAACTAAAGTTAAAGATAACAACCAGTAATAAAGACAAGACACGTTTGAAATGCTGTTTTGGTAATATATCTACACCACAATAAAATGGAGGTGCGGTGGCCTCATGGTTAGCGCGCTCGTCGTCTCCGGATCGAGTGATCCGGGTTCGAGCCTTAGCCGAGGACGTTGTGTTGTGTTCTTGGGCAAGACAGCTCACTCTCAAAGTGCCTTTCTCCACCCAGGTCTACAAAAGAGTACTGGCGAATTTAATCCTGGGGCATAAACCTTGCGATGACTAACATCCCATCCTAGGGGAATAGAAATACTCCTAGTCGCTTCATGCTAGAGAAACCGGGGTATGTTCCAGCCTGATGGGCCACTTGGTTCGTATGCATATTTACCTTACCCTTAAACTTATAGTAAGATAAGTTTAACTGTTGTGCTAATTTTGTCAAATACGTCCATGACCCCTGTATAGAGTATTTTAAAGTTCTTATCTTATGATTTGCTGGCGTGTTAACGGTTTTCATTTGTTTATCGAAACCGTGGGTAAACTGATTCAAATTTAGCGATTTGTATCCAAACGTGATCATCCAAACAATCTATCAAACAACGAACCAATAACCAGGAAACCCAAATCATTGTATGTGTCAAAGGTTACTGGTGGCTAAACATTAACTAAGGAATTGTTCCCCGAAGATGTCAAGCACTTCCTTTCTCGAAAAACAGTTCTTCCACGCAATAATTCCGCCACCATTCCATTTATGTTTGTTAGACGTATTTGATAAAAACAGGCAGCGTGGTGGAAATTGCTTTAAATCGTATTTACTTCGTCAAACACAATTATTTTTCCGGCTCTGCTTGAAGGTAGACAATGAATCTTTGCCTAACTTTATCAGCGTTTCTTTTCTTGGCAATGATGGTTTTGGGATCCGCACAAGGTAGGTTTTTTTTCAGGTAGTTTACCAAGTTTTCCTTTGTCTCTTTCATACTAGTGTAGTTTGGCTAAAGGCAACTTTTGAAACTAGCACAAGTAACACATTGCACGTAAATAACATTTTAGATACAGCTTCATCAGTCTAAGCATTATTTCACTGAAACTGAAAGAGCCACTTACAATTGATGTTGTTTGGCAAGTTCACCTGTCAGTCGCCTTACAAAATTACAAAGAATATACAAGCTTTTGACCATGTGCCTAAATTTCAAACATTATGTACACTCCAGGTTACAATGGCTCTTGACTATGTACTTTTCTTGGCCATGTACTTTTTATCTTTTAAA